GTCCATTTGCATCCTAATCCCCTTCTGCCTCCCACTCATGTTGGTTGAGGAACAGGGACAGGAGGCAGCTGCTCTCATGGACGTGTCTTCATGAGCGCACCATCCCTATTTCTACGGCAGCCGAAATCAGGGAGACCTTGTTAAACACCCTTGTTCCTCAAGACTTTCACTTGCCTTCTTTCATTTTTTTGCATTGAAGTTGCTAGAGGTGGTGAACCTTCCCATTTTCCCCATGAGCCCAGCCTCGGCTGTCTGATGCCTCCCCATCACCTGCAAAGCTATTTAGCTTTCAGCTTCTTTAAAGAAGTTTCCCCATTTTTGTGTTTTCCCCTTAGCAGGCTCTCTGCCTCCACAAAGCTATCAAGGATGCTGCCTACATGAGGTGAGTTAATATTGATGTTTTCCCTTGTCCTCACAGCCCCTCTGATCCCTCCCAGAGTCTGTTGCCATCGTGGTCCCGCAGCAGACAACCCCGGGCTGAATAAGAAAACACTGCATGGGACTGGCACGGCAATCCAGAGAGATTTTATCTGAGTTGCTGACAACCTCAGTTTGCTAACCCAATTGACCTTGTGCTCCCTTTAATATGTAAAGCGGCGTTCCTCCGCCGTCCCAGCCTACCATGCCTTTCCTGGCCAGGGTATGAGCGTACCACCCATCGTCTGCCGCGGCTTCCCGTGGCGTCGGGAGAACCAGCATCCTCATCTGCTGGTTCCTCCAGCAGTGGTCATCTCGCAGGAGCCAGAAGATGGTGGCTGCCCACCACTGCCTCCATTAGACCTTTCCCAGGCCGATCTTTTCCCCATTGCCCCTTGGCCTTTCCCACCCATGGCTCTTCTCACCTCTCTCTAAGGCTGGCCCGCAGCATGAGGTTACCCCCAAATGCATGGGGCAGGGAAGGAATGGGGTTGGGGATGTGGTGGTAGGCACTCCAGCCGGCCATGGGTCTGCTGGGTCCCCTCCCCCGCCCCAAAATCAGAAAAAAAGAAAATCAGTTGGGGGGGGGGGAGGATCACAAAAAATTGGTATTTCTGAGGGATGGGGAAATGGTGTGGCCAGGGCTGCTCTGGGGCTCAGTCAATTCAGCAGGTGCTTTGCCTCACAAACCAGACTAAAAAGCAGATTTTCCCCCAAAATAAAAACAGAGGAAAGAGGGAACAGCCTGTAACAAGGCAGGATGCCTTCACGTGGGGTCTACACTGAGGCCTCGTCCCTGAGGCCCCTATCTCCCCCACGGACAAGATTAGCACCAAGTCTATGTTTAGGAGAGAAAAAACAGAGACAATTTATTTCCTTTCCAAGAGGGAAAATCCTGATGCTTCATGGAAAGCCGAGGGGGCACGCGTGTGTGTGATCCACAACTGGATGTCGCTGTTAGTCAAAGGTTTTTATTTTTATGAAAAAATAGAAAATTTCATATCTTACACTACAAAAAAAAACCATGTACACAAACAAAACGCACAGAGAGCATCCAAGGAGGTGGGGGGAAGGGGAGGAATAAATACAGCAATGCTACAGTCTCCTATGAGTTAAAACGCCGATGTGAGGAGCTGAGATGGATGCTGTGGCTCTGGCAGCGCTGGATGCACCAGCTCCCGCCCTACCTGCCCAAAAGAATTACAATAAAGGATTGGAAACTAAGCGTTACTCTTAAGATTGCTACTGATGTATCTTACATACGCCTTAACGACTAATTTCAAGACCACAGCAGTCCAAGGAGTCACAATTTCTTGACCACTGGGACTTTCTACATTATATTCAACACTGAATAGACAAAAAAAAAAAATTACCTTCATTTTTTGTTCTTCTCATCATTCCCTTAGAAGGAATAAATAAAATTTTAAACTGATTTTTTTCTTCTTTTAAATCAGTCTTCCCTTTTTATGCTCAGGTAATTTTTCCAAATGGTAGTTACATAATGAAAGGGGGTCAGACTACACAAGCCATGCTTCTTCCTTCTCCCAAAATGAAAAACTATATCGAAAAGAGCTATTTCACCTCCCAGATCCTTTGAAATACCTTCCTCGCAATTTGCAGCAAAATATATTGGAAAAAAAGTATTTGTTGGACCAGCCGCCTGGAAAAGCAAAGCGCTCGGAATTAAGCGTAGGCAGGAAATCCACCTGCAGCCCTTACAAAGAGCATAACCAGTAAAATAATACTGTCATCTCGTTCTGCTGCACCCCAATATACACGATCATGCCCAAAATACGGAGTACTTGCAGTTCTTGGATCGGAACCGATAACCTCCGTTGTCTCTGGAATTTGCTTGTGGACATAGAAGCTGTAACTTTTGGACCCTACTTGTTAAAACACCATTTTATTTTATTTTTAGCTCCAAGACAAAGCCTGTTATACAGAGATCCGTAGCAAGAACAGCTCTTGAAATAAACAGAAAATGTTACTTATTTATTTATTGGAGGAACCAAGAAGAGCAGCCCTATTTACAAATGGAGTCTGGCTTACGAACAGTTTGTTTTCCACTAGTTCATAATTTTGAAGGTTACTCCAGCATCTGGTATGCATCCCAGCCCTACTGCATATGCCTTTAAAACCCCACAAATGGTGAAAAAGGATTTTGCTGTTAAGTCCTTGAAAAAAGACCAAACCCAACTCCTCCCACAGAGCCAACAGGTAAGGAACGAGAGGAGATGACGGGCAGAAAGTGCTGCATATTTGCTAATAGCATCTCTCTCGGTGCAGCCGATGGATGCGGGCGGCAACTGAACGACTCCTCCTGATGAAAAGAGTTGTTTCTGTCTTCCTACGGGTTATTTTCCCAAGCGCTGCAGGCAGGGAGGCACAAATAATCCCAAGACTGTTCTGCTGACAGCTCTAATAATCTTATTTATTATATGACAAATCTCTTTTCCATGCCGAAATTGTTATGTCTTGATTCCCCCCCTCTTCTTTTGTGGTCCGACAGCTGCCAAAATGAAAAAACAGGATGAGAAATCACCATCAAGATTTGTCAGACCTTGCCGCAGCTCCTCTCCCTCCTAATTCTCCCGATTCCTGAGGAGCTCGGCAGCAGCTCGGAGAGGAGGAGGAGGAGGCCATTTCAGAACAGGCAATATTGCCTGAAGAAGCCCTGCTGAAAGCAGGCAAAGCCCTGCTGCTAAGGAAAAAAAAACACCCAACCCTCTCCTCCTAGACCTTTCCCTTTTCTTTAGAAACCGTTCTTTGTATCAGATCTCATCCAAAGGCTTGGGGAAAATGGAAGAAAGACCTTTGGAACAGCTGAAGGTGGCATTCGACACTTGCTTCTGCAAGACGTGAAGGACACAGGCTGCCTTTCAGCACTGGATAAGCTCCTCGGGCTCGGCTCTGCAACGCCAGGGACAAAGGGAGCTGCGGCAAGTCAACAGGTCAATGTTATCGCCAAGGAAGGATGCTACAAGATGCTACCCAACCTCTAAGAAAGCGAAATATCTACAGAAACAGCAAACGCTTGCCATCCGCTGAGCCATTTTTAAATCCTTATCTTTACAAAAGCCTTCACAAAAAAAAGCCCAACCTATGAATACCAAATTAACTGCGCTGATTAATCCTATCAACAACAAAAGGAGGAGGACAGCCCCAAACTGTTTCTTGGTGGGATTCCCAGGGGATTGGGTTGCCCTCAGGTCCCTCTGAAAATAGCAGCCGTGAGCTTTAATGGACACATTGAACCCCAGCTACAACCAAGTGCTGACCCGAGCTGTGCCAGCCCCAGATGGATGGGACCTTGTCACCCACTGCTGTGACCACATGGGGCTGCTCTGCTCTTCCCTCCTCTCTGTGCTCTGCCCCAAAGTGGCCAGGCCCATACCCAAACCGAAAATGCCCAGAGAGACAACCTGGGACAGCACAGTTCCCAAAATAATCCCACCACCACTTTGGGGGAAATACTGCAAAATCTCCATGCTGGATGACCACGGGCTCGCCTCCACACCACACTCCCATAACTCAACCCCAGGACTCAACCCCCATAATGAGAAGAGGAACAGCAAAATCCCTTCTTTCCAGCTAAAACCACCTTGTGGTTTCCCTCCTGGGCAGGACTCATACACACGAAAACTGATGCCATGTTGTCACTGGAGGCTACTGGGAACCAGATGTTTTACTTTTCTTCTGGATGTCCCCAGCCCGCGGTGGAAAGGAAGAGTGGGCGACGTCTTTTGTTTAAGCAGACTCCTTTTACCTCATATACGTAATTAAAACTCCTGAAGGCTTTACATGTTGCTCAAACCAAACAGCAGCAAAAATACAAAGCATAGCGGTAACCCAAAAGGGAGATAAAACAAAGCGAAGAGGGGGGAAAAAAAGAACAAACAAGGAAAGAGCCCCAAACTTGTACCTGACGCGTAGCAAACTGTACAGTATATACATCTTCGCCGTGTATTATCCTCCCAGAAGAGCAAACAAAAAGAACTTGGTAACACAGAGGGAGGAAAAAAAAATATACACCCTGTATTGATTTGCCATGGAGCAAGCAACATGTTTATACACTAGTCTCTATAACTTAATGCTGTGTAACAGCATTTTTTTTTCTTTTCTTTAAATTTACAAAACAAAATATCTATCGAGAAATAATCTAATCATATTGCTCTTCAATACACTTCTGTAGACAAGTAAGACTCGAAGTTAAACTTCAGTAAACCGCAGCTTTTGGGAGCCCAGAAACGGCTACAAAACTCTTCCGCTCAAGTCAGTCCTTGGAAGTATTACCATGTGCTGCTGTAATTCAGTATATAAAGGTGCTATATATATATATATCTCCCATGTACAGACAACGTGTGGTGGGGAGGCTCGTTGTCATCATCGCTGAAGCTTAAGAGACGGGTTAACCTCACGTACAGCAGATTCGTTTCCATGTTCCATGCATCTTACATTTACTTCATGAAAATGAGGACACAAATAAGAAGAAAACCTTAGTCAAACACTGCTTTAGAAACGCTGCAGCAGAGGCCAACGTCCTTCAGTTATAGAAACCACTGCATTTCCCTTTTTATCTTTTCTTTTTTTTTTAGTCAAAATAAATCTCAGGGCTAGCGTACAAAGTGCAGGACCGACCCACTTGAGGAAGTGACTTTAAAACCGAGTTACAACGGCACCATCCCATTCACCAACTGGACCTTCATCTCTTGAAGGCTGTTCATTATCTTCTTCTGGTGACCAACAAGTGTCACTCCCAGCCGCCTCAAATCCCTGTGGGAGAAAGCAGACGTTGGTTCCAGGGACCGCTCAGGCACACGCCGCCGCGCACACCACGCGCCGCACACGCCGATGCTGCTGCCAGCGCCCACCTCTTACCATTGGCGGTTCCCGAAGCCAAGTTTAGTTGCCATGTTTAATTTTCCCCATTTTTTAAAAATAATTTTTAACGGCTGACAGCATCTCGGAGAGGTGTTGTGATTTGACTGAGATCACCTCGCTGTCCAAGGAGAAAAGCCAGACAGCAAAATGTCAGCATCACCTTTGGCCAAGGACTCTGCTAGGTGTGAAAAGTCCTATTTTCAAGAGAAAAGCCATATAAGAAAGCCTGCGTTGCAGTTTCCTCTTCTCCTGGGAGAGGCTGGTATTTGATCTCGGATACAAGCAGTGAGGAGTGACATCAGTCCATGCTTCCTTCCTCTTCGGACTAGGCAAAGTCAAAGATATACAAACCACAATCCTAGAGCCAGCTTCTTACAGAGAGCTGAATGGCAAAAGCCTCGAGCATGACCACCACCCCGATGACCCCCTAAAGTCAACAGGAATTGGGAATGCAGCTCCCCTCTGGGCCTTTGCAAATCTTCCTGTAAACCCACGTTTGATTTTTTTTTTTTGGGTGAATTCTACAAGCCAAAGGCATTTGTGTTGAGTCTGTCTACTGGGCTGCCATTACAGGAAAGCTGTAAAATAAGATAGTTTATGTGAAATGCAGGATTAGGAGGAAAGATTGTTTTCTCAGAAGCTCAGCCCTCTAAAATGGAGGTGTATAGATGAAGGTAATCACCAAGGTTCATGTTGATGGCATGAAAGAGGCACCTCCAGGGGACAATTTATCCCATCCAAAGACAGGAGTGGGACAAGCCGTCCCCTGGAGATACTACAGCAGGACCTTGGGTGATCAGATTCAATGACACATCTAAAGCCAGGTAAGGCCATGGGTTATGGCGGAGTATAATTGTAGGGATTTCTTTCTAGGGGAAAAAGTGTTAACAAAGAAATTGTAGGAATAAAAGCTCCGAAGAAACACCAAGACAGGTGCATCCGTGTTTCCAACACAAGACACACACACTGTTAGAGAAGCAGTTCGGCTTAGAGGAGACGTGGTGTTTTGTCTGAGGACTTCCACTAGAGAAATATCACCCCTTGCTTTCTACCTCCAGGCTGGACTGAATAAAGAATGTTTTCAAAGTAGGGCTCTACTAGCGTCTTGCCAATACACACGTGAATCCCAGAGCTGTTGACACCCTGGTATGCAAGTCTTTTAGGAGAAACCTCTCCACTGAAAGCCAGTGGACCTCCTCGAACACGTACTTTTTGGAAACCACACTGGCGGGGCTGGCATGTGCAAGGGCTGGGGATCGCCAGCGACAGCCGGGAGCCCAACCATCACCTGAGACATATTGCAAACCTGGCCTACAGCTCACAGCATGGCTGCATGCTGGATTGCAGGTGAACACGAGCAATGACCACCAAAACACTTTCACGTGATGTTGTGTGAGCCACCCATGGAGGTGTACCTCTCTCAGCAGCTTCACGTTCGAGACTCCTGTGTCAATACAACCAACCATCCATGTCCAAAAATTACATAGATGAACATTGCTTTGAATAAAAAGCAATCCCGAGTGAAGGTTCCTATGTTAACACATAAGCTGGTTGAAGGCAAAAGCTAGATCTGTTGTTCTCCAAGGATTGTCACGCTTTCAACCTTTTGATTTAGAAAATACCAGATCTTCTGCTCCAGGCTAAACATTTCATTTCATCATCGTACCCTTTTTCGGCGATGCATCTCAACGATGCATAGGGGAAATCACAATGTAAGGGACACGGAGCAAGGGAGGTCAATGAGACACATCAGCAACGCTCCTTACCTGGCAGAGAAAAGGCTGCAGCATCTGCAAAAGGTGTCTCCCTTCTCAGGGGGACATGCTTTCATTTCTGCCTCCACTGAATTGTGAAACTAGTTCAGCAAGCCATCTTAATAATGAAGGAAAATGTAGTAATGCTATTGTTACATGCAATTTATTTTATGTACACAGCACAGTTGGAAGTTCACACCAAAGATTAAAAAAAAAAAAACAAAAACCAAAAACCAACCCAGTATAGGACCTGAGTTTTGAAAGAGCCATCTTCCCTCTGCTGAGTACTGCTCTGCTGACACTTTTTGAAAACTCAGCTTTTTTTTTTTTCCAGGTATCTAAAGTGCAAGCTGAGCTCTTTTGAAAATCCAGCACCACGTATTTCACAGATGTATCATTTCTGATACTCTTGCATGTTATGCAGAAAAAACTAGCCTGAAACTATGAGAAAGGCATGTCCTGGTGTTTCACATGCAGCTCCATCAGTCTAATAAAAAATCCCCTACTCGCTACACAGCTTTTTTTCGCCCCTCAATAACCCTGAGGAGCACCTCATTGATTTACAAGAGAAAAAAGAAAAAGGAGTTTCTTCTCCTTTCAGCAGGTCACCAGGGGGATCCAGTCTATTTTTTTTGAATATAAAATCCTCTTGAATGCGGAGCCACCGGCCAAAAGTGCAGCCACTCCTCAGAGAGGGGAAAAAAACTACCGTGCGGTCTTTCACCTCCACAAAGACAGAAGAGAAGACAACAGCTCCTGAGCCAGATGCTCACCTAGTATAAAATCAGCAGCTTTATACAAAAGCCACCTCGCACGTTGCAAAGCCGGCAACAAAACTTTCCAAAAACCGCCTAGAGAATGCAGGAGCTTTAATTCCCATTTTTTGAGCATGACTTACAGCACGTTGCATGGTCCCATGCATCCAGCGCTGAAGGACTTAAAGCAGCGAAAAACAGAAGCCAATTTTAAACAAAATCGGGTGCGCAAATCAGCTAGTTTTGCGACCAAAAAAACCAACTTCTGTGCCAAAGGGCTGCAAAAGAACTATTCTCAAGCTCCAGTCCAGAGCTGCCTGGCTCACATTACTGCAGCCAACTGGTAATTTCACTGGGCTCAGCTTCACAGAGGAGATGTGTGTGGGTATCTACTGGGGCTTTGCAATAGGAATGTGCAATTCTCTGCAAGAAAAGGCAAAACTAAGACGCAGGGGCAAAGGACACTCGCAATCAGGGTCCAGGCTGCACCTTGCCATGCAAGTGACCCGACCCCCAGTGTTGGGTTTTGTGTGCGCCGCTGCGGCAGAGGCACGGGCGCTCCCCGAGGCCGTGGAGATAAGTGCACCCATGTATTGTGAGGTCTCCTTGCTTCGAAGTACTTGACCCCCCCCAGCAATAAGACAACTCTTATTCCTGTTTCAGGGAGAAGTTTCCCCTTTTCACTTCTTTTTCATTCACATAGGGCTGAAAATGGAAACAGGCAGGAATTCAAATCACTTGCCAACACAGTACTAAGAGGCCAACCTAAGCTGACCAAAAAGCCAAGGAAATAAAGGGGAAAATTGGCGTTGGCTCATCCCGAACAGCCTGCATACAGCTGCACGCATGCTGCTCTTACCACCGCCTTGCATGAAAGCCCAGCTGCAATGTGCCAGGGACAACACGGTATCCCCTTCCCTGCAATATCCTCCATTTGCAAGGGTTGAATTCATGGTCTCCACGTTGTAAGAAATATATTTTAAACATTTTATTTACAAACAGAACTACTTATACACCATGGACCAGTTTGTCAAACACAGTGTAGACTAGGACTGGATTGCCACATAAAATACAACCCCTCTCACCAGCCGGTTAGTCATGCAACCAAAAGGGCCACGTTCCTGAAAGATCTCCATGGCCGGCAGCTGTCAACCTACCACAGATATTTTGTATTTCATCTCCCATCCAGGCCAGATTTCACCACTCTTCTTCATGTGGTGTAACTTTACAATTGCCTGTGCCGACTGGGACTACTCACGGCGTTAGTTAGTTGTCAGTTTGAATGAGGGGAAAGAAGAAGAACCTCAAAGACCTTCAGGAAACGCTAAAGAGAGAGGAATCCACTTGCTAGGGACTTTTGTATGAAATGAGGACTTAAAAAAAAATTTTTTTTAAGAGTTCATCTGTTCTTATTCATTATTGCCTTCCTACTTGATTACGAGATGAGAATTAGTTTGTTCAGAAGCAGATGCAGTATCACAATCTCAGGACTGAGATTTCAGGTTAAGAATAAGCATCTAGAGCAGGTGAACTCTTAAACGCTCTTCATCCAGTATAACTTTTAATAAATAATTTATTTTATTTTAGAACAAAAAAAATTTACAATGCAAAGCAACACAGCACATATTATTACAAATATTCAGAGCTCTTCATCTAATAACAAACAACAGGGTGTCCTGAGATTCAGTGAGTACAGATCTTTCAAAAGGTGGAAGTATGTAGTCCACATGGTTAGTAATTGGTCCAGTCAGGGGTCAAACTGAAACTCATGTCATGGATCTATCTATTCTTGAGTATTGTCCTGGTAAAGTTATTCTTGCAGTGGATTGAAAGAGCTCCAGACACACTCAAAGTCACTAGGTGATCCACAAGTTTAAAGAGCAGGTCTGGTCCACTGGAAAGGTTGCCTTCAAGTCTGATATCCAGTTGGAAAGAGGGGGTGGAGGGTGAGGCTCCACTTTTCACAAGGTGATTCGTCCCTTTGCAAGAATTAGAGCTAAATGTAGAAATCACTCTTTGTTTGAACACATACATTTTCAGGTCTTTACTTAAGCAGCAGAGCTCAGGACTTGGGGCGATATTCACCACTTTTAGCTTTTTAATCTTTTGCTTTCAGAAATTTGTCACTAATACTACTCTTTTCTTGAATGCATCAAGCCATCAGTTTGAAAGAAGCAGAGTGGTAATTGGGATTTTGCTTTACATGCCGGTGGGGAGGGGAGGGGATTTAAAAAAAATGCTGAACATGTACCATCTCAACCAGGTCCTGTAAAGAGGCCACAAGCTGGATGCCCACAGTCACTAGTCCCGTCAGCATTATGGCCAACCCCTCCTACAGCGCTAGTAATTTTTTTTCAGTAGATTTTAGGAATTCTTTACATTCACCGTATTTTTTTTTCTGCCTTTTCTGACAGCGATTATCCAGTTCTCCTTTCTCCATCTAATTTCCACATCTGTCTCCTACACAATATGAATTTGGGGAAGATAATTTTTGATGGTATTTGAAGGCAACCTTTTAGATTGTAAAGAATGTTTTACTGATGTCATCTGGGGAAAGAAAGCTACTTTCAGATGTTCAGATCATCTTTTCACCCAATCCCCCCAAGTCCCAGCTCTGGAATATACTGAACAGTTGCCTCTATTAAAAATGACAAGGAACATTTAACCTGAATTCTCCTTTGCAGAGTACAAAATGTTTTGTTGTTCCCTTTTACGGGGAGAAAAAAATGAAAATCTCCAGAAAACCAAAACCCCCAATATATTAACCTTTAAAGAACTTTGCTTATTCTGGTGTTTATTTTCTGGAGAACCCACGAAAGTCTCAGCTGAGCCCACCCAGGAGCCATTTCTCTCCCTTACTTTGTTTTTTTTACTCTGCCAGTTTACATCAGCCTGAGCACGTGGTTCAGGTCTTCAACGCGGGATACCTTTCCTCTTAAGCCACTATGGTTTCTCCTTTTTTAACAGCTGAGAATCTGGTCTTTTGTCTTTTTTTACTGTATCTGAGAGGGATGAGAGAAGTCTTGATCTGGATGGCTGCTTGGCTTTTTAATGAACCTTCCACAGTTTTGCCAAAAATAGACCCGAGTGGAGTCAAGACTTCTTGCTAAGCCACCACTGCAATGCAAAGCTGTGTGCGCTGAGCTGTTCAAGAACCAAGCCTGACTCATGCAACTCTGTCCAAGGCAGCTGGGGAAGGAATTTATTTGCTGGCATGGATAACTAACTAGTTGAAGTTAGTTTCAACCTTTTTTCAGTTTCAACTGAAATGAAAAATGGATTCATGAAATATCTCCTTTCAGCTTAAAAAAAAAAAACCAAAAAAAAAACCCCCCAAAAAAACCCCAGAAGCTCCCCAGGCTCCCAGGCACCAGCTCCTCTGCACTGCTCTGCTGCTGTAAAAGCCCGGAAGAAAGCTGAAGCTGAGCAGCTCAGACATTATCTCTACTGGGGCCAGTAAAGGACCAGAGTAGGATGACATTTGTGCTATAGAGAACATACTGGGACCTCACGGAGGGGGCCTTAGAGGTGGTTTGCAGCTGGTGAGGGTCAGAGCATCTCTGGCAGCTATAATCTTATTTAAAGACCTTTAAACCAACTTGACTTTCTGGCTAGAACTGTACAAATAATGGATTTCTTGGTTCACTGCCAATCAGAAAAAACATTTTGAAGCACTTTTTGGGTAGCCTTGAAAGATTTTGGGGGATACTTTTGAAATTTCTTGAATACCAAAGAGTAAATATAGGGAAGTATTTAAATTTTTAAGTCAAATTAAGGAGATAATTTCACAATCTGAAATGTTGCACTCAAGAAAATGGGAGGTTAGGAATAGTTTTGTAAGCAGGATGGGATGCTAAGACTGTGTTAGCACAGAGGGATATTAAGATTGTTTAAAGCTACATGAGCAAGTGAATTTCTAATTTACTGTCAAAAACGACCATTTATTTGGGCTCGAACTCAACATTTTCTCTGACCCAAACCAAAGCATTTCACTTCTGAGCATGTCTTTTAGAGGTCTTGAAATTGCATAAAATTCTAAAGAGGAAGAAACTAGAAGCTTTTGTGAAACCTGATTTTCTTTTTTAATATGACTAATTCAGCCAAACAGCAACAAGTCTGTGATATATTTTAGACAATATGCATTTTCTACCAGAAATTGCTCTGGTTATAAGATTGAGGTGGCACAGTAGAGGGGAAAGCTCCAACATTTTCCTTTTCTCTTAAATTACTGCCTCATCCTATCCCTCCTCTTCCCACTCGCCCTCTGGCTAGGTCTTTCTGCCATGTGGACTCTGACCACCCTGGGGATGGACTTCCTTGGCCAACATTTGTAGATCACCAGTCTAAATGGAGCCCTGAAGCCTAGTGTTCCTGGGCACTGCCATATCAGATGAGTAGGTAAGGAACTGCGGAGTCCTCAAAAGCCAAAGTAATACGGCACGTAATTGCAGGACTAGGCTGGGAAACGGCATTTAAGAGTCTCAGGCACCCCAAAAAAGAATCTAGGTAGAAATGCATGCAGCCTGACTCCCTAGACAGTCGCTAGAGAGGACTTAATTCCTACAGGGTTTTCACGTGAATGCCTGAAGATAGACTGGATGAGTCCAGGTGTAAGGGACAAACATTGGTGATGTGAGCGGAGCAAATAAAATCTGAGTGAGAGCAGATACACTCCTGCACTCCCTCCATGCATGTAATGCAAAACTGAACTCCATGGAGATGTTACCGACCTGCATCACATGCAAAGGACCTCCTACCCTGTACAGTAAGCTCCACAGCAAGCCCTGAGGCAGACAGGAGAAATGCTGCGGTTCTGGGGGGTGTGGGGATTTTTCTTGTTTTATTCCTAATCCTCGGCACCAATTCTGTATGTGCACTGGCAATCTGCATGTGGTTGGAAGAGCCACGACCTTTTCCAAAGCAGCACGGAGCATAATCCTTCCCATTCTGCCTTAACGCCTGCAGTAAACTAAGCTCAAATTAACCCAGCCAGAAAGGCAGGCTTTGGGGCAAGTTTGAGTAAGTGACAGATGTAATTACAGATGTAATTACACAAGCAAGGCAGGCAATTAAAGGTGGAGCATAAAAAATCAGCAGCCCTGAGGCATTTACCAAGTCATTTGAGTGCTGTCACCCCAACTGCAGTCATACCCACGTGCAAAAACCAAGGGCACATTCAGAAGGAAGAGTCTTGGCCAGGGAGCCTGTCCCCTAGAGCTGTGGGTTTGCTGATGCTCTTCTGTTGGCATCGGCTGTATCTGTGCTCATTTCTGTTAATGTTGAATACTATTTCCGTGCCTTACTGGACTTGACTGTTCACTTGGTTATGTCCAGATCAACTGTGAAACCAGCTAATCCGGTGTAGAGCCAGTATACCTATATTTACTAGTAGGGTGGATTTTTTTATTTATCAGTAACCCCAAATAAATAACTGCTATTATGTCGAGAGGACGGCCTGGCACTTATTCAAACTCAAGCATTAATTTCTGTGAGTAAAGGAGCCAAAGCACCGGCTGCCAATGTAGTGACGGTAAGTTTTAGTCTTGCCTGCACTTGTTATCGTCAATACAGATGCTAAAAGAGAAACTGCTGACTGCAAACAAAGGTTTCCCTTTCTGCAGCCTCATCCCTACATATTTTTGAATGGTTTGTCTTCCCCCCCTCTGCAATTCCAACAAATCAGGTGAAAATTATCTGGGCACTACTCACTCTAGGGTCACCTGAGCCACAGCATCCATCGAACTGTATCCGTTCTCCATGAAGATCTCCGTATATCGGCCCATTTTGATGGCTTCCAGCCACTCACCCACTGACCTGTAGGCACTGCTCCCGACTGGACTGTGCTCTACCAACAGATTTGATACTCTAAAGACAAGCAAAAACAGAGAAGCAAACAGAATCAGTATCGAGATGTACCCAACGTGACTCAGTTGCTCGCATTTTTATATTGTAGAGATGATTCTTTCTTTGCATTTTCAGTGATTGCTGCAGCCTAAATCCTCCCAGCAGGCTTGATACGCAATGTATCAAACATACCACTTCACCTGTAACTTCACCTGCTTTTGAGTTAGTTCCTGCCATTTCTGGTCCTCACTGCAAGCGGAAAGAGGAGGAGAGGACTAGCGTCCATCCCCGTTACCACTCGCCCACAAGTAGGCTCCTGTTCTATCAGGCTCCCCCAACCACTCTTACTTCAAAGTCTTTGGTTTCACTCCTCCCACTCTGTTTTTCTCCTCCTAGTTTAAAGCTCATAATTAACTTAAGACATCCCAGAGCCTGGGATGGGAATTACATTTCCCAGCAGCAGCCATCAATGGCAGGCTGCTGTTAACACTTCAGGGGCTGCTCCTGCAGAGTCGGGTGGGGATTTCGGATGCAGGCAGCATCTGGTGAGCCCTGCAGAGAGCAGCAATGCTCCAACCATGCTCCAGCCCTGAAACCAGAGGTAGACTCCTGCTCCTGCACCCTCGCTCAAGACCTCGCCGCAGCAACTACTACCTGCTCGGTTATGCCACGCACGGAAGAAGCAATTCAGGCAAATAATAACCCTTCACTGCAGCAGAAACACTGACACAGTACCTGGCACAAGCGACCCGTGCTGCGTACAGGTCCACCACCCTACTAATGATGCAGAGAGAGCAAAGGGGGCTTGTCCAAGGTCAGCCAGGAAAGAAACTAGATTTGTCCCCTGCTTTGTAAACCAGGACATACAGCTAACGTAAGCCCTGCATAAAGATTTTTACTCATAGGTAAAAAAACGTTTTCTGGGTCAGCCTCTGACGGTGAGAATTACACTTAAAAGACTTTCAACTGGAAGGAGAGCTGAGATATTATATTATTATAGCACTTCAGGAATCTTCATGTATTTTATGAGCACATTAGTATTATTTGTTTATTTAATAGCAATGCTGAAGGGTCCAATAAAATGTGAATACTTGCAGTACCAAGAACATAATGGCTTCCCATAACATTTTATACACATGAGGAATTCAAAACTCCTAAGTAATCATAACAAGAAGTGGATTTCCATCATAATGTCAGGAGGTACCTACTGATATGCACATGCTGTAATGTAGAGAGTGACTTCTTCCCTTATTTGCATTAATGAGAATTTCCATAAAGAATACATTACATATATAAAAAAATCCTTTACAGCTGCTGTATGTTGAAATTATGATTCATTTGGAATTACTATGGTCTGGGCACGGCAATCTATGATTATAGAAACACAGCCCCAAAGCCTGGCTGTTCAGGTGCTCCATCCACATTGAAAATACCCACAGCAGCTCTGAAAAGGAAAGGTTTGGAATTGCATGGACCTGTTCATAAAACATCAGCAAAATGCTTAGCAGCTCAAGGAAATGGTTTGCTGCCTATTTTCCTCTTTTCTGGCATAACAGTTTGGTATAAAAGAGTGCATGAACCACCGCATAATAGGCCTGGAAAATGACTGTTCTGAACTTAAAATAAAAGAGAAACATCACATATTTTATGCTATCATAAACCTTTTTCTGTAGGTTTGCTGGGACTGACATTACATCTAATTGCTAATAAGAGTAATTCCTTCTTCAGATGGTAAATGATGCATGTAAAATAGCCTGAGAAATAAGATCTATCTTGTATTTAAAAATTAACAGAGATTTCATGTTTCTTCTCTTCAAGTGTATGAGATGCCATGTGCGCAGACATGCCAGCATGGGGATGCGAGGTGCAGCTGCAACAGGCGAGATGGGCCACATGCAGCTGTGCAAGACTCACTCGGAAGGTACGGAGATGGATGGGTCTAAGCTCACAACAGTACATCTGCTTTGGTCCACACCACCGGTCTAACCTCATCTTACATCCCTCTCGTTCCTGTCCAAGGAAAACGACATGTCTTTTTTTCCCTCCTCTGAGAATAAACTTTTCTGAAGGGCCTCTTTCAGTGTTAATCAGGGGAACTCCACTGCCGTCAATGAAGCAGCAATGACTTACATTCATCACTCCTTCATGACCTTGGAAGGGACCAAGTGATTAGCAACACAGATGGCTCGGAAGTAATACTTGTGTGCTTACAGCAAAAAAAGAAAAAGCCTCTCCAAGACTCCAGTATGCTGGAGACTCCAATACTAAAACTCACTAAAAAATACTAATCTCTTTTTCCCCAAGTGCAGCTTTATTTCTTGACCGTATTTACCTTACTTGTAGCCATGTAGCTATTCAGATTCATGTTTAATTGCACACCGGCTGCTCTATTCACTTTATGTGGTTTTAGCAAATGGTTTGCATACAGCTCTTCGGGAACCACAGAGATCCTCTTGCTATTACCAAGACTGTCAGAACTGGCGGTGGCAGCTAGCACACCTGGGAATAGTTGTGGGAGGATGCACTTGGACATCCATACGCTCTTCATTTGCATTACCAAGACAAAGTCAACAGGCAAATAATTTGAGCCGCATTTACTATCTACTGCATGCACTCAAAGTCTTGCCCTCTCTAACCTTGGGGTAGAGCACGGGTAACTTTATCATAGACCTATAAATACCACTGAAACTCCCGTTTCTGAAAGATAGGCCACAGTAATTTTCTTTGTGTCAGCAACACGCTCTTCATTTGCATTACCAAGACAAAGTCAACAGGCAAATAATTTGAGCCGCATTTACTATCTACTGCATGCACTCAAAGTCTTGCCCTCTCTAACCTTGGGGTAGAGCACGGGTAACTTTATCATAGACCTATAAATACCACTGAAACTCCCGTTTCTGAAAGATAGGCCACAGTAATTTTCTTTGTGTCAGCAACACCGCATTTATAGAGCAACTGAATTGCTCACCTGCCTGCCAATTTCAATAGAAAAAGTTGATTTGGGAAAAATCCCCTGGACATAATGAAGTTGGAGGAACATCCACCCACAGATGCGCACAGGCTAAATAATAAGTAGTAATTCAACCCCAGGGTTGAATGCTGGGGGATCTTGCTCTGAGAAATGGCTCTGGCCTGAGTTTGTACCTGCTTGATGCATTAACCAACGTCTTCAAGCTGCTTGGGTTACGGATAAGCTTGTCCAACATGCTGACAATTTCGTCAAACTTGGGCCTGCTGTTGCGGTCTTTCTGCCAGCAGTCGAGCATTAGCTGGTAGAGAGCAGCAGGGCAGTCCATAGGACTTGGCAGGCGATAGCCTTCCTCCACGGCTTTAATCACCTACGGGAGACAAAACAGGAGGTTGATGGGTTGCTTTTCTCCCTCTCACCTTTTTCCCAAATGCAAATTGACTTAAACAGAGAACTTTGGGACCAGCAATATGCTCACGTAAAATCCCACTGCCCCGCAACTCTGCACACAAGAGGCAAACCCAGTAGACCCCACTATCTTTCTTATTTTCTACAGGATGGGTTGAATAACTTAATTTTTGGTCACCGCAAAATGAATCTAGAAAGCCAAGGCACTGCTGCAACCAGGGGGCCAGATTGCCAGGTTGCACTTGTTCAAAGCTCAGCTGAGATCTGTAGGTTATATACCAGGAAACTCCTGGAGCCTACCTTCAGTCCATGAAAAGCAGATTATGGGGCTTTCTGGCACTTTCTTGGAGTGCAGTGATTTTGTTTATTCAGATGTTGGCTTCTTTTTAAATGAAAAGGCATGTGCTAGACCACAAATTTGTATTACAGTAATAAAAGTCTGACTGTATTTCAAAAGAGACTTTGAATGTTAATTGATGGATGGATTCAAGGCAGAGGCAGAACAACCATCTCATATATCATTCAATACTGTCTGGGTCTAGTCGTTTCTTAGTGTGGCCACATTTCTGCCAGGAATTTAAAATGTCAGCCCAAGAGTATGTAAATTAAAACCAGGGGAGGCTTGTTGCACTGATTTAAAATACAAACCATCTATGGTTCTATATCTAAAACAAGTGGTATGCACATGTGCTGCCTGCCCTCTTGAAAGGCAGAAATGAATAAATGAGAATTGAAGAAAGCAACTTGTTTTCTCCAGTTTGAGGCAGATTTACAGCAGGGCTCCAAGCCCAGCAGTTCCCATTTTGAACCATTACAATTTTCAGGAGAACGCAGCTCGCATTTCAAGCCACAGGGGTCTGTGTCAGTGCCAAGAGAGTCCCAGTGGCCCATCTTCACACCCTCTACTCCAAGACTCACTCCTTGACCAAAAGGAGCTGGAAGCAGCTCTTTGCTGTGTGGAAAACCACAGCGTCTCACTGTTGGACTCCAAGGGCTGCCTCAGATGCCATTCATTCTAGGCACCGTCTCATGATTTGAAAACATCCTGTGTTTAAAAAGAAGGCTCTATGGTTAGCATGGAAGTTGTTTTCTTCATCTTTAGTCCCTATACGAGCAGTACAGGAAGAGTCGCGTCAGGCTGGCATTGCATTTCAGAAGGCTCTGAAATTCAGGACCGCACGGATCGCTTTCAGATCGTCCTCCATCACAGGGCTTTTTGCCAAGTGGAGGAGTCCCAGGAATGCGCCGGGCTTGGCTGAGTAGCAGCAGTGGGAACGTCAAACTCCCTAAGGATGTATGTAGTAGACAAGAAGTTAGGCGAGGCTTTGTAATCTTCTCCAAGGGTAGCGAGCACGTCTGAAGATCTGGCCTGCAGTCCTTTTGCACCCATCTAAGATTTCATCTGTCGGTGGAGCAGTTGCACTGCTCTCCACCCAACCTGCGCTTGCAAAGCAATCTCTTCTATGGCCTGGCTTTTGCTCACATCATCAAAAACCAGACCCATCACGCCATGCTATCTGCACTGTCTGTTCTTCACATCATGCTTTTCAGCTGGTCCCCAATACCAAATTTGCAGCTACCCTATAAAAAAAGCCTCAGTGTGGCACAGCCACAAGAATGTTATTTGCTGTGTCCACGTCTGTATTTATAAGAATAATGGATCATCCTCCAGCTGTAGCAGAAAGAAAATAGTAGCAAGACAGGGAGCAGACCATCTGGCACCAGCTCAGAATATCTGAACTACATCTGCAATGGGGTTACGCATGTTTGATATTCCTGGCAGTAACATCACAATCAATAGCGTTAACTCAATTTACAGGATGTCGTTCGTTCTGGCAATACAATGTAAATGGTATCAAAATACTGCAAGGAACTAGGATGCTGAAATACACTCTTGCATCTGAAGGTGCCTTGGGGGTATGGCAATAAAAGGAGCAAAAGAATGAAACAACAAAGACTGAGTCACTTGTAGCCACCACAATACTCAGAAAATAAGAAAACGGCACGTTCGCTGTTTCATTCATTGATGCGTACTTCTTTGTAAGACTTCAAGAGCTAAAATTTGCACCTATAAGGAGGCATTTTTGTCCCTGTTCCTCTTCTGGACAAGCACTACTCACTTATGGAGTGGGGTGACTGAACTGGATGTTTGGGAGAGGACGATTTGGCATAGTCTATTCCAATAAACCAAAGCAACACTTTTAGCTCTGTGTTTTCATAAAACCACCAGTCTGAAGACTAAAAAGCAACCACTGTGATCATTTAGCTTAGCAACCTGTGTAACACAGGCCACAAAATTCCTCTCAGCAATTCCTGCATCAAAGCCTTATCCTGTGGTGGAGTCAAAGCATATTTTTAGAAGGCCATCCAGAAACCAGCACAACTTTAAAACGTGGTTTGTAGCCTTTGCAATTACAACGTTGCCAGCCCTACGGCACTGCACCTCCTTTAAAGCAATCTGGCTGTAACATGGTGAGAATAGTTTCGCTCATCACCGACTGTGCTTGCAAACGATGTGCTTTAATTACAAGCCATACAACAAGAAACTCTTGTGCAACAGAGTCCGAAATTCATGTGAGCAGAGCCCCCGGGTCCTCCGCACGAAAGCCAATGCTGTATCTAACACCACTGATTCTTCTGCCAACACAGGCAGGGGAGGAAAGAAGAAGAGAAGGCCTTCAGAAGATGAAGGAGGAAGGCATAAATTGCATGAGAAACATGCCACAGCACTGAATTAAGTTTCCTAGGCTACCACCATTCAGGCACTTGCCACCTGCACATAGGCAGAGAGGTAACCCAAGCAAAGCCTGAGCAGGAATTGATGCTCATAAACATCTCCTCAGTCCTCTGCTTTCTGCTGCTAAAGAAACAGTCCCCCATTCGCTTCTTCTCAGGCAAGTATGAAATTCACCCTGTGCCCCACAGTGCATGGAGGCATTTGGGCTTTACAGAACAGTTCTGCGAAGTGTTCATAGCGTTATGATCCAGACAAGGGACTCCCCTGGCCACCTGAGCATTATTTCACTGGTACCAGCCTGAATCTTAGCCCAGCATTTACTGAACAATCTGTGCTATGCCGGTGTGTCAGCATTAAAGATAGTTACAGTGCTCAGTGTGACCAGAAAAGCTTGGCTCTCTATTGCTGCATTCTCTGCACAGACTATGGAAGAAAGTCTCCGTATTTTATTGAGATAAATCCCTGTGTAAATACATGCTGCTTTACCAAACACACTGCAAATGTGACAGCCTCAGCAATGCAGAAGCGGTGAGGCATTCATGCCAAACAACGCGCTCGTCTCCCTGGCAAGAAGCACAGTGTGACCATCTCAAAGGCACCGCTCGTTTCTGCGCCTGGACTCGAAGCAAGATGAGACAGCAGCTCGGTGTGACAGGTAGTAACATCCACTGATGGCAAAGGCCCGCAGACAAAACACAGGAGAAACAAAAGGCTCAGGCAGAGCCTTTGCTGCCAGTGAAATGGCAGAAAGTCATGGGGACAGGGACACTGCTCAAAAAAGAAAAAAGGATGAAACATCAGATGTTGTGACCAGAGGAAATCCATGGCAGAGCAAGCACCTGCTTGCTTTGCCCAGCCAGCAGCAACGTCTCCACAGGTGACAGGGCTGCAAAGATGACATGGGAGGGATGAGGAACGACTCCGTTTGCCACATGCAGAGTGGTGTGTTTTCCCCCCCATTGCAGAGCTGCTTTGGGGTCCCCATGTGCCTCCTGGTGACCCCCATCTCATGCACTAGCTGGCATCCTCAGAGACCTCCACAGGTCATGGTTCTCAGAGATGTGAAGAGGAAGGAGGGGCCCAGAAAATCTGGCAACACCAGGCTTAAATTTTTTTAGCCTTAGAGAAGGACAGATGTTTATGGTGAGCTCATGGAGGTTTATGGAGGTAGCCCTGCAGTAGGATCACGAGATCCAAGGCTGGGATCAGAACTGCAGTCAGGAGGGTGACAGTGTCCCCAGGCATCTCCGTGTTTGGAGATGTTTCAGAGGGTGGCCTTGAGGTCAGATGCTCAAGGGGGCACTGGGGCCCAGGAGCAAGGGGACACAGCTTGAAGGGTGCTGTACAAAAGAACCACGAGAGCTTGCGTTAGCACAGACTTACAAGATGTTCTCAACAGGAACAAAACTATGCTCTCGAGATCAGCAATGCAACGGCAACCGAGATGCAGCTCTCTGGACTGCTGTCACTAGATCAAATCACCCAGCTTTTGTGCAGGGAAACAAAGCCCTTACCATGACTCTCTTGAGTTTCTGCTTTACGTGGCAGCAGGGGTTTGAACACACAATTGAAATGCTGCCAGTTTATCAGCATCTATCCCCTGGCAGACCTTTGTCATTAAGCAGAGGAGGGACAGACTCCAGCTCTAACAGCATTAGTGAAGCTCCAGCGGTCTGCTGGGGGAAGCAGACTTGCCTCTGTGCAGACAGATTTCCCCTTGCGCACAGCCTGTTCTGGGCTGCTGCTGCAAAAAAAGAGCATCAAATGGGAGGATCATTTTTGTCTGGCATGGGGGAGAAAAGCCATTTTTACAGTGGCTCTCCTCCTCTTCTCCCCGTCCTGCCTCTCTGATTGCAGAACGAACGCTGAGCCCTCAAAGTCCCATCACGCGGCAGCTCTCACACGTGCTTACATCTTGGTTTGTCATTTCCCAGTAAGGCCTCTCGCCGTAGGACATCACCTCCCACATCACGATGCCATAGCTCCAGACATCGCTCGCTGATGTGAATTTGCGGAAGGCGATTGCTTCGGGTGCTGTCCATCGGATGGGGATCTTCCCTCCCTACAAGGCAAAGAAAAGGAAAAAAACCCCAAAAACCAGATTGCAGAGGAGGGCAGAGAACATGCAAAAGAGGACGAAACAGCACTTCTTAGAGCACCGAGGGATGTTATTTTCTCTCTGGAAAGAGACATCGAATTTTAAAGTAAATCCGTTTGACAGCATGGGGCCCCTTTCCACATTATCTCAGCCCATAAGCATTTGTAGGCTGCCTACTAATTGGCTGTCCTGAAGGTTTGTTGTTTGAATGCTGTTTGAATGCTGGGACATGTATAGGATCAACATCTCAATTATGTTGCACGGGTTGGTAGGGGAATACAGTTCCTCCGTTTCTGAGAGCGAGCGCGGGAGGAACAGACAGCTCTGAAGCCAAGGAAGACTTTGATCTAATGAGGGCTTCATGCAAATTACTGCAGAAGTAATGCCCCCCCCCCCCTTTTTTTTTTTTTAAATGCGGTCCCAATCCTGCAGAGACATCTGCGTAGCGGGCACAGAAACGTGTGTGTGCAAAGACCGGCCTGCTTCGCCTCTGCTGTGGGACTGAAAATGATGCCACAGCTGTCAAATGTGCTTTGCTGTTCCCTCTTCCCCTTTCTACCATTTTAGAAATCAAACTTCAGACCAGCTCTGAGAAGGAAGAGAGGAGGGAAAGGGGAGTTTGGATTAAGGAATACTTTCCTCATTGGGTTTAAAGAATTACCTCCCTTGATTTACATCAAAACGTATTTTACTGTGAAGTCCCTTCCTCTCAGTGTTGAGCTAAATATTGGAAGGTCTCCCTGAATGCCCCCTAACAGTGTTTGTTATTGGAAAAAGGTAGAATTTGGAACACGTTTTCAAAGCAAATTTTAAAAAGTCCCTTCTTCCAATAATTATTTATTCACAGGCTTATCAGCGCATGCCTTAAGTGAGAGGCCAGATTCTCAGCAGTGCCAATTAGCACATGGCAGCACATTGCAGTCGCAGCAGGGCTGGCCGAGAGCCCTCCAGCTTGCAGGGAGGCTCCGGTCCAGCCGTGCACTGAGCCCCATCGTGGGGCCGTGACTGCCAAGAGCTGAAAGGCCTTTCCCAGATCTCTGCGGGAACTGGGAACGTGACCCAGAGAGCTCCCACCACCCGTAAAACAATACCCTTGGAAAAACACACTAATAGGTCACGTCCAGGCATGCCAATCACTGCCATGAATAGTGGAGGCTCTCTCCAAGCCTGTGCTGCTGAGGATGGGTCCTGTCCACCCCCTCTCCGCAGCGCTGGGGCCATGTGGCCTCGCACTGGAATGGGTGAGCTGATGCCTTAAAAGGATGGATCAACGATGGAAAGGAGCAGAGCACTGAGGCTGGAGCAGCTCTTTCTCAGGTTGGGGGAAATTACCCTCAATAGGGTAATGTTGAGGGCAACACGCGTCATTTGCAACGGGCATTACATGCTTACCAATGTTTTAAAAGGATCAAATTGTCCAGAAGACCATGGCTTACATCTCTGCATGGGTGCCTAAGCTAAGCACTTGCTCTTGCTCTTTCCCCCCTTTGGTATTCACCAAAGAGGACAGAATAGAACTGGGAGTGTGGCACCTTTGCAAAGTTTGCTATTTGACTCAGGTGCCCAACATGAACTTAAAAGTTAAGTTCTGCCTTATTTGGCCATCCCCACTACAAAGTTACAGGCATTTGCAGAATTAATCTGATAACGATTAACTGGTGACACCTGGCCAAACACTCGTGCACAGTTTAGAGACTCTGGATTTGTAGAAACCTCTTTGCTAGAGAGCCTGAACACCAAAATGTGGCAGGGAATACATTTTTCTTGAGCTCAATTAGTTCGGTATCCTCATAACTCACCCTGGTTGTGTACGCTGCTTCCGGGTCATCTTCTAGGACTCTGGAGAGGCCGAAGTCTGACACCTTGCAGACTAAGTTGCTGTTGATTAGGATATTCCTGGCAGCCAGATCTCTGTGTACGTAACCCATGTCAGACAGGTACTTCATTCCTGACGCGATGCCTCGCAGCATCCCGACCAGCTGAATGACCGTGAACTGCCCATCGTTTTTCTGCAAAAAGGAAGGAGACATTTGATCAGTTGAGAGTCTCTGCACCCTCAGCATTGCATGTGCATGAATAAAAATGCAAAGGCAAGTTTCCAGGGAAGAAAAACAGGGGAATTAATAATTCATTGCTCTCATGCTCTGACCATGAAGCTTTTCAAAGTTTCACTGTTTGGATTAGGATCTCTAGAGACAAAGCTAAGGAAATGTAGTTCTTTTAACTGGAGATCAAGGAGTGAGGTATTTCCACTGGGGACTGACAAAGAGACTGGGAGTTATGTAGTTATGTGTATAAAGACACTGGGGTGGGCTGTCTCCGAGTCAGCCAACTGAATGGCACGAAGTTGCATGGAAATCCTACCTGCAGAGGTCCACGTGTGAATATTTGGGGGTAGGGACTCTTCCCCATGTTGCCACACCACATTTCTCACCACTTCCTCTATCCTCCCTTCTCTAGCTCTTACCTTTCATGGAAAAACTCTGACAAGCCTGGGGTTTGCCATGATGCAGTGTGGATGTGCTCTTGAAACACATCAAATTTTGCAGGATAAGTTAATCATTTCCATGCAGCAAACTGCCTTCTAAAATAAACATAATATCCTCCAATTTATTCTTATCTGTTTGTATCAATGCATGAACCAGTTCCTTCATGATGCTGTATAAATATAGATCAAACAGACAACTGAGCTCCTCCTGCCTCCAGACAGCATCAACAGCTGGACCAACACCCAGCAAGCATTTTCATTGATATTAACCACCTGCAAAGAACCCAAACTTCAACCAAGATCCCCCTGGAAAAAGGATCTAAGTATTACCTTTAAAAATGTATCCAGAGAACCATTCTCCATGTATTCAGTCACTATCATTACTGGTTTGCCTGGAACAAAAAAATGCACAAGTTTGTTAGCAATTTATTTAAAAAACATGAACAATAATAAAGTTTTTTCATAATGCGTCTGAATGTGAATATACAGCCACGCAACAGTAAATCTACACCGAGACACTGCTGTCCCAGCAGGATGACAACAGTTTTTGCTAGAATATATGTAGAAATAGGGGAATAGAGGAAGAGAGGATGAAAAAGTAATCCCTAATTATGGGTGGGCTACCAAGCCCTAGAGTGTTTACATGATGTTTCAGGAAGAGGTTGCAAGCTGAACCCAGGCAACCTATGCACAACCTTCTCCTTGTCTCTGTGAACAAGCTGAAAGCTTGCAGAGGCCAAATTGCACACAACGACCTCTTTGGACTCTTCCCTATAGCTTCAACACCCTGAAGTAACAATGGAGCCCAAGAGGAGCAACCAGGATGATCTGAAGTATCTATCTGAGCTTGGTAGCCACCGAAACCAAGACCAGGAAAGGATGGGATTACATCCCTTGTAATTCAAGTAATCCTATGTGACTACCCCTATAAACACATCTGGAAGTAAGAGAAGGAATATTTATGCTGCAGAAAGAAAGCGAGTTAAGTATGGAATGAGTGCGAGTGGAAATCAAAGTAAAAGTTCTTAGCAAAAGACCTGGTCTCCTATTGTTGACAGGAATAATAATGTTTTTCCAAATCCATTTCATTAATTTTTATGCCCAAGTCATTTTAATGGTAATTATATATAGTTTTTGCTCAGTTTTTATATCTAATTTCTCGCTAGCTTGCCACAATGACATAACAGTAATTAATGTGGTGTGCTCCAGCCCTTGTAAATTCAATGAAATCTTATAAGAACATGTAAATTATTTTTTATTTAAATCAATTTCCATTAGCTAGCATGAAGCATAGACAAAAGAGGAGCTGTCAATTATTTGTAAAGTGCATTATAAATGTCTTTCATAGAAATGATCAACGAGAGCTGCTGCATGTCATAACACGAAGGTAAATGCTCCTAAAAATCGGCGCATGTTCTACCATTTAGATTGATCTTTATCTTCCCACTTTCCCGTTACCTTAACTATTTGCCTAATTTACTGCTTAATTATCTACATAATAAAGGTAATTGTGAACTTGTCAGTCAAAACACTCATTGTTGTGCAGACACTACCTTTGCAGCGTGAGGGACCTGTGCTGCTTCAATTCTTTTAAGTTAATATCACAGCTACTGCCTGAGCTCGAAGCTTGCCAAAAGTATTATTTTTGATACGAGAAATGCACCTTTGGGCCATGAAAAATATTGTTGAGTCCCAAACAAAATAACGAGCCCCATCTTCAAGGATGATAGCTGTCTGTTTACGCACAACATGGGCTGCATGCAGGAGGAAGGAGAGATTTTGGGTGATGTTGCTATATGTTGGCAAACACGTCAGTGGCTACGCAGGGAAGGAAAATCCCAGGTATATCTCAATTTTTTTTTTTAATTTTTTGTTTTTAAACACTAAACCCCCGACTGTAGCATGGGGTCCCTTATCTCTGACACCTTAAGGCAGTGTTGCAGCGAGACTTGCGTCTCATTACACCACCATCCTGGGGGACCTCCTTCAGACTTCTGCCTTTGCCATCACAGAAAAGAAAGTAAGACTTCTGGCACTTATGTTTCATTATCTGACTGTTGCAGGTTGACAGTAATCGTGGAATAAATTAGCCCCATATACAAGAGCATGGAAATAAAGACACAAATAGAGTAACTTTCAAAAAAGTAAATTAAGAGTAAACATTGGCCCTTCTAAAGCACTGGGCTGATTCTCTGTGTCAGCAGGACTCCCACTGGCATTACGGGGCCATAAAATGTGTGTAAGTGTCATTCATATCAATGTATTAATGCAATGTGCACACCACTGGCGCAACCAAACGGGATGCGAAAACAGGACCGTCATTACCTTTGTAAAGCAGAAATAGCTAAGGGCTTGTCTGCACGGGGACAATGAAGACGATTAAGCCAAATTAACTAAGGTGTGCATTTGAACTAGATTAGTTAAATGGTATTAAGCCCCTGTGCGGATATTCTCATTCAGAATTAAAAATGGCCTAATTCAATTTAACTTAATTTACTTCCAAAGTAAGTCATGATGCAGCAAAGATATTTTATACTAAAGATCTGAATATACGATAGGCCAATGACTAAAACACTGAAGGGAAAAAGAAGTTAAACAATACTTTGAGATAGCAGCATAGTCTGGGATTCATAAAGGTTGTTTTGGTCCATTTAAAAGAAAATAAAAAAGCTGGAAAGATGCTCCAGATGCCTGATGGAAAAAATTCTGACTGCAGTAAACAAGCATTTACTGAGCTAATGAGGAGCTCAGGGTGCACATACCCCCCTGCATCCAAACTCCAGTCGCTCCAAGTCCAATTTAAAAGCAAAGCTCCCAGCATTTCCACAGCCTTTGGAGCAGACAGCCGCTTCGTACAAAAGGCAGCTCGCTAGGGAGGCACACCGTCCCTAAAAGTGCGATTCCCACCCATCCCCTGAGTCCCCGGCAGCCAGAAAGACTCAAGCCCGTGTCACACAGAGCTTTTATGGATGTATAATCGTCACTCGCTTCCTGCCCAATATCCCACATCCCTGCAGGGCTAGAAATGGGAGCTTTTATGCATTAAGGGCTACACAAGGTGACCCCAAGAGATTTTGATATTTATTAAATTTTTTGGAGAAACCTATCTTGGTTGTTTTTTTTCTTTTCTCAAAAGTTTTAGGAAATGCAATTTCAAGAAAAAATGCAAGAAAAGGCTGTTGGTTGCAAAATAGCATTGACTTTGAGTAGGTTATAAGGATAGGAACAGGACAAACAGCTAGTGTCTCTGTACCTTCTCTATTGCAGCTCTGAAAAAGAACTAATTTTGGAGATGCTGCCTCTAATGAATGACAAATGGTACTAACAGCAGCCACATGGCCCCAGACGCTGGCACGGAATGGTGGTAGCGAAGCTCTGATGTTACAAATCATGAAGACAAGAGGGGAGACAGCCATCCACACTTGTGAGGCTGGTGCTTCTTCAGCTAGCAAAAACTTCCCCAAACACAAAATATATCTTAAAATAAAGGAGTAGTTGTTTTCAACAAAAAAAATCCGTGATGCAAATAATGTAGATCCTCCAAGCCTTTTCCCACAGCCTCAGCACAGCACCAACAGCTGGAGAGGCTTGGGCTGGGCACATTCGGATGTGCTGTCCCTTCCTCTGCTCTTATCTTTAGCGCATACAGTAATTTGGAGAACTGGGCTGGGGGAGTTATGGAAGGTTATTTTGCTAACTGAGCAGTCAGATCTCAGTAACTCTCGTGTTGGGATGTTTTGCCAGCCATTTCACATTTTTCCCAAGCCCTCAACCCCTCTCATAATCTATATGCTAGCACCAGGGGCAACTATTACCACGGGCATCACCAGCAGATCCCAGAGGGACCATGCTTTAATTGTGGTTTTACACAGTCCTGTTGTCTTCAGCTACACTCCTGTTCTTCTTCACTGCTTCTGGAAAGCAAAACTTCAGATAACTTCTGTCCTTGCTCACATCCCGTGTGAGTGATCACAAGGCTCAGCACTACTCTCCTGTGGGCTTTGCTTCAGTGGTTTCTCAAAATACGGTGGCTGGAAATCATCAGGGGTTGTGGTTTCGTTTTTTTTCCTCAGACCCTTGGTAGCAAAATCCTCCCCGTTTCCCTGCCAGGGAAATCGCTTCCCACTTCTTGGCACATCTTTGCTCACCCTGGGGCTCATGTGGTTTCAAAAGTGAACAAATAAAGGCAGGCATAAAAAGCAAGCCTGCTTGAAAAACTTAGTGTGTGTTCTGGTGTCGCTGTGTTCAAAATGCTCTTGCATTTTGCAGGTGGTAGGTGCTGCTGAACTACTTGCAAGGCAGAAGTCGGGCAGCACGCCCCACCAGCATTCAGACATCCCAGGCTTACTGCCCTCTCCCACCCACCCACCTGGGGCTGGCCAGGCATATCATCTCCTTTTTCTGTCTCATTTAATTTTGGACCTTTGAAGAGGGGTTTTCTCTTAGCCCTTGCATATTATGCCTAGGTGAGGCAAGGTTTGCAGAGGGAGTTAACGTTTTTTACCATTTTAGCCATTATCTATCCATTCTAGCTGGAAGAATGCCGAAATCCTTTGGGCACAAACCCCCTTTACAATGTTGAGGAACATGTTCCTGGCTGGACCTACAAAGTGTGACGTTTCAGGCAAGGGGAGTTCACTGTTTTTTGAGAAATTATGAAAGGTGCACTCAAAACGCGAGCTACCCAAGTCTTCTTCCCCTAACCAACTCTCCCATCAGCCAGAGTTCAAGGACAGCAGTCCACAGCAACTTGTGCCTACTTTTTGTGACGACACCTTCCAGGTGGATGATGTTGGGATGGTCAAACTGTCCCATGATGCTTGCTTCTCCCAAGAAATCTCGCCTCTGTTTCTCTGTGTAGCCCACCTTCAGGGTTTTGATAGCCACTGGAAACTCGCGCTTTCCCTGCAGCTTCAGCCGCCCACTGCAGACTTCCCCAAATTCACCTTCAGAGAAAAATCAGAAAGAAGGGGGTCACAGCACATCAAAGGAATGCACAGCATGCGTCCATCTACAGCATGCAGCCCAGTCCCTACAGAGAGCTGATCAAAAGCACGCAGGGCTGTCCCGCATTCGTGGATGTGGAAAGCTGAACAACACAGTGACCACCATCTCAAGTACCACAAGCCAAGTAATTCGTAAGCACAAGAAAACTAGGAAGAAAAATGTAATTTTCCTATATTTAAAGAGCTATGCTGTATATTCTATTGGGCTTTTTCCTCATTTCATGTTTTTGTCTACTAGATGAAAGACTCCTGTCACATCCTATGTCATCGCCCTGTGTAGATAGCTGTAAAACACAAGCCACTTGCTTCTTAACCTTTCTTTGGTAAGCTGCATAGATAGAATGCTGTTAGCCTTTCACAGCAACATATAATTTTATAGACTATAAACCCCTTCCGATTTTATGACCACCTTTTTTAAAAAGTAACCCAAATGGATTTTTTTTTCTTTTTTTCTGGTGAACAGTAAATTACCTCCAAAACCATAATTTCAGAGGACAGAAAATATTCCTAAGGTTGGATGCAAGTCCAAACAAACAGCTTAAGTGGAAAGAAAATGGGAGTTTCTTCTTTTAACCAAGGAAGTTAAAAGCTTTGGACTTTGGTTTGTGCTTTTTTTCTCTCCCAGACGACTTTTTATTCTTAGTTTTTCCTTTGAGACTGACCTTAATGGGGGAGGAGAAAAAGGTTAAAATGGTGAAAAGAATCTGAAAATTAAGTGACTCATTCCCCTTACAATCCATTGAAATAACTCAGCTTGGTCCAAACGTGACCATTTTCTGCCACTTTCAGTTCAGTCCCTGAATTTCAAAACTGCAGCCAATGACAGGTTGTCCCAAACTTCAGCTGGAACATGCTCCCCATCACTTGCAGGGTACCTAACAGCACAAGTATTTCACGGCCCTTCCCAGATCTCTCGTGTTAAGAAAGCTGCTAAGGGTCATGAAATGGATTTCCATACCAGCTCCGATAACTCTTTCAATGGATATGCACGAAGCTTCAATTTCCTTAGCAAACTCATGGACGGCTTGATTAGGGTCCTCGTAGGTGTGAGGGTCAATGTAGGTCCTTACTCCAGGCAGCTTAACTGCAAACACAAATTAAGAGCGTTAATGGCACTTGGCATGACAGAAGATGGGCAACACACACTTCTGTCCCACACACTCAGCTTTGCTGGAAAACATAGCAGCAGGGAAACCTATTTCTATGGGAAAAATTAATAGCATTCTTGCAAAATGACATTTAGTTTATATATGACATACGTGCAACTTCACCATATTTAGAAAAGCACACGGTAGTGCTCAGCTGGAACGATGCACAGCTAAAAATCCCTCTCAGTGCTGCGTAACGGGCTGGTCTGGGGTCTGGTTCAAAAGGATCCCTTTCTCAATCTGGAAAGGGTACGCCAGGAGGAAAAGTACAAAAAGCAAAATGTTAAGGGAACAACTTGCAAAGCAAGCTGGATGGATGGGGGTTGATGGAGAGCTGCAATAAATTATGCCCTACCAGTCACATATTAGCTAATCAATTGGCCACATTATTTCAGATGGAGTTACTGAGTATTAAATGAACTGAATATTTGCAGTACAAAGCCTGTGGGTTGTACCAGTATAAATATAATCAATAGCAGGCTTTTTCTCCAGGACTCGAGAGGGGGAAAAGTATTTTCATTATCCATATTATAAGTTTGTTTTGACAATCATTAAGGCTACTTACATGAAAAACTGCTCATCAGTCTAATAAGACAGCTACATTACACTGTGGCTTTTAGTTGATTTGCTTCCTGCTGCCTTCATTACATAGCACTAATGGAAATTTGACTTTCACTCAAGATGCGTTTGCCTTTTCCACCCCAAAAGGTACCTCGCTGTTACCCAGATCCCACAGCACTTGATGAAGGAAGGCATTTCAAACATTGGCTTTGAATGTACGGAAGGACTGACAGTAACCACGAGATGTACTTTCTAGCATTACCACAGAGGTATATAAGGGCATTAACACAGCGTTTCTGAAAGCTTCCTAGGAGCAAGAAATAGGTGTTATTCCTCACACCTCTGCAGAGGCA